CGATAGGTAATGAATGATTTTTTTGAATGTTAGAGAGATTGATTCGACCGTTGGAATTCGAAATATTTTGTTTTTTTTTTAACATTTATTTTTCAAAAATAAAAAAATGGGAAAATACAAACGAGAAATTACTATATGGGACCTACCCGAAGTCGTTTTGGAAATGGGCTTTAAATATTGGGCTATATACAGTATATGGATCTTTTATTTTGGTTACCTACAAGGCCTTATTTTCTGGATACGAAATAAAAGTTGAGGATGTACAATTGTACAAGATACAATTTTTGTTTTTTTGCCATTACCGTAACAATTTTATGTAATGAAAATAGTTAGTGGTCATGTAACTGATTTCACCGTCCATGATCAATTTCAGTTTTTTTCTATGCTAAGGGACGATTTGTATGATTACAACAAGTAATTAGTTGATTTGGTTTTTTTTCCTTCTTATGATAGATGAAACAATATTTGAGGGAGAGAATAATTAAACAATAATTTGGAATTGGGAGAAAAGTTGATTTGTACGTTAATAAATGGAATATAAGATTTTAAGCAACTAAAAGGAAGAGAGTAGGCATTGAGATGATAGTGACATTTTTTTTTTATGTTATAATGTCAGCAATTATAGTTTGAAAATTTTGGCATGGAAGCATATATAACCAATAATTGTCAAAAGAAAAAAGAATAAAACAATGATATTTAATTTACACATGAATAATGACAATATATAAAACTAAAAATCAGCACTTTTTGGATCTTTTTATCATTTCAGCTTTCTTGTGGTTCTACACATCTTCATATTTTCCACACTTTTTTTATGCCATATCTAACTTTAATTTATGTAGTCATGCATTCATATCCACTCATTTTTTTTTATAAGGAAAATAGTATTTTGTTATATGATTGAAGAAATATATACACTTTTATTTCAGAAATTCCATAACTAAGATAAAATTCCATAACTATGCTAGGAGATTAAAAAATTACGATTTCCATATAAATACAAAGAGCTTTTCATATTTAATTTTTTTTTGAAAATACATAAATTAATTATGTCACCTAAATTGTTTCGAGTCGAGGTAGCTCAACAGTGATTGATTCGGTTCAGATTAAGTATTTGAATTTGGATATCTCGGTATTATAGATTTAAACATCGATCATATAATTTTGAATTTCAGTTTAATTTCTAGTTTGGATCAGTTCGAAAAGTTGTTTAGAGAACATTTTTTTTTTTTTTGAGGTGGATCCATTATTTTGTATCCGTACATATTCGAATGTATTTGAAGTATCCATAAATACTCAAAAATATTCATAATAATGAAAACAATAATAAAAACTGTAAAATTAAATAGTATATCTAAATTGGTTATTTTTATCCGAGTATATATAATAATATTCGAACTAATCAAAATACAGAAATTTCAAAAAATACCACTTTTCAAGTGCCACTTTACAAAAATGCCACACTTTTGAAAWMTTTACAAAAATGCCACTTTTTCAAAATTATTTTTTTTTATATTATTTATATTTGGATTAATTATGTTCTA